TGTTCTGTTTTCTTTCACACTCTTTTTTTTCCTTTCTACTTTCAATGCCTATATTTTTTCTTTAATAAAGATATTTTAGAAGGTGTGTAACAAAATGCCAGCCCTGGTTAGGGTGAATGAGATAGAAGTTGTTGCAAAACAGCTCAGAAGTTTTTTAACAGGAACAAAAGATCACTCTAAATTAAAATTCTACATGAGTTTCAGAATAAAAGCCTAAAGAGGCTGTTTACACATAAAGCAATACTTTCTGTTTTGCATTTTTGAATCTTGAATTATTTCATCTAAATAATTGTTTTTTTAATGTTCTCATTAATTCTTTAAGAATTTCACAGTGTATTTTTATTTCATCCATCCTAATTCTCTCCTGAACTTCTCCCATCCACCCAGACATCCTTATATCCCCCAAAACCTTTTGTCCTCTTTGTTATTATTTTTTTTTTTGTTTTAGACCAGCACAAAACTATTTGTGGATTACTTCAACCAAAAAGGTCAAACTGGTTGTGTGTTTAGAAACTACTCTAAAAAGTCCTGTCTGAAGAAAAGGCTTGTTGAGAATATAACGGGTGTGAGCCTGTGGTGTGCTGACCTCATGGCTACAGCTTGGAACAGCCCATTGCCAAAGGTCCAGAGATTTCTAAGAGCCATTTGACATCACATTGGTGTCTAGAATCATCACAGTGGGAGCATTGCAGGCTGTACAACTCAGGTCTCTACTATTCCACTCATCCAGTTAATAAACATTTACCAGCTTCCCACGGAAGGAGGATTAAGCCAGTGGCCGGATAACTTTCCTGGTGCTTCATCAAATGATGTTCAAAGCATGGATGTGTTTGGGATGAGCCTCTTCATCCTCACATCTCTCCCCTCTTTTTCTCTCTGGCATTCCCTTTCCTTTATTGAAAAAACCTGATGTGTTTTACCTCAAAAAACACATGACAGAAATTTGAAATACAATAATCAAATTATTAAGAGGCAGAAAATGGGATTTCTACAGTAGGGGAAATGAACCATCCAGAGGCAACATTACTAGCTTTTTTAAAAGGTCTTTGCTTTTTTTTTTTTTGGCTTTTCGAGACAGGGTTTCTCTGTGTAGCTTTGCGCCTTTCCTGGGACTCACTTGGTAGTCCAGGCTGGCCTCGAACTCATAGAGATCCACCTGGCTCTGCCTCCCAAGTGCTGGGATTAAAGGCGTGCGCCACCACCGCCCAGCGGTCTTTGCTTTTTTTAGTAGTGTACTAATGGATTAAACTCAGCATACACAGCAGGGTGAAAAGGGAAAGGGGTCTCAACTACAAGGAACAAACTACAGCAAGATTACAGGGAAAGTTTGTTCTAACAGAATTACTAAACAACCACGTGTTGCTGTAAGAATACATAATTACCATGCACAAATATTTAGTCCAAGATTGGTTAAAGATGATGCCATGTACCTCCCTACCCATTATGGAAGGAAAACAAAGCAGTAAACAGAAAATCTACAACTGGAGAAGAGGGAAATATGCCATCTATATCCTACCACGTGGATATGGCCACAGCGTCAGTCGGCAACACTACTTTCTACCAGTTGTCACACACACAGATAGGTGTATCTACAGTTTTTAGTCCTTTTCCATCCATGGTATTCAATGTCAGCTCCCCAGGTATTACACATTCATCCAAATCATGAACCCTGGCATGGTCAGAGTGGTCACAACTCTGCTATATAACTGAGGTGATCAAACCCCTAGCAGACAGTGTATCTTTGTTTTGTGCTTTAGCTCTGGAAATAGTGGTCTGATAATTATAAATCAGGGACAACTTTGTTGATTATTCAGTGACATGCCAGACACAGAACTAAACTTCCTTCACAGAGGTAGCTTTATTTTCTTTTTTTTACGGACACAAAAAGTATTTTTAATCATTTAAGTTTTTAGCATAGACTTATTGCTCATAATAATTGTTTTTATTATGACATATTCATATATGCCTATAGCTGTGACTCTGTCATTTCTACCTCTACATGCTGTCTAGATATAAGACTAAAAATAAATAAACCATACAACCCCTGCACATACACACAAACACCACACACACACACACACACACACACACACACAAAACACACATCAACTCATCATAATCCAGATTTTCTTACACTGAAATAAAATTCTCATATAGAAAAATTTACCAAATATTTGTATTTATATTTTCCAAGCAGTGGGGTTTATACTAGGTCAATATATTTCAAATTATACATTGGGAGATAGTTTAATTGGTAAAGAGGACTTTAGTTTGAATCTCCAGAACTCACACTCTAAATATGTCATATAGACTATACAACTAATGCCCAGGGAACATTGTGAAAAGGTATAAAGAACAGAATAACTAAAAGACAGGGAGGAGAGCTGCGCAGTACCATCTAAGCATGACTTGGCCATGACAACGATGAACTGTCAGCAGCTGTGGGCACTGATGCTGGACCCACACATATCAGGCACATATAGCAATCAGCTTTGAATGAGAAGGAGTTCACAGGACCCTCCTATTTGCTGTTGAACTCTGGGCAACTAGCAGGTTCTGGGTGAGGCAAGGCATAGCGTTCAGTTGTATACCCAGTGGTGAGCCTGCCAGTCTCTAGTTGATGGTTTCAAAGTCATGACCATACAGATGGCTCGAATTAAACTCTATAGAAAACAAAATGAAAACCCATGAATATAGGGGAGAAGTGATGGCCGAGAGGGAGGGAGACAAGACAAAGAGAGGATAAGAGTGACCAGAATGAACTTTATACAGGTATAAAATTGTCGAAGAACATGTAGTGACAAAAGAAAATGTTTGAACTATTACTTTTAAGTTAAGCAACGTGGTGCATACATGTCTGTCATTACAGTGATAGTGGCAGTGGGGGCTGCTGGCCAGGCAACCCAGCTGAAGGGATGGGATGTGGGCTCAGAGAGGACTCAGCCTTAGAAAATAAAGTGGAGGGTAACTAAGCAATGCTGCTGACACCCACCCATGAAAGTGCACAGGAACATCAGTACCCACAGACACATGCTCACACATTACATCACACACACGGACACAGAGAAATGAGCTTTCCCTCTGTCCTTATAACACATTCACTTCAGATAGCCTGTAACTGTTTTACAGTTCATTAGGCAGAGTAACACAGTCTTAAAATTCCTCGAGTACCATATCGAGCATTTACAGAAATGCTGTATGTTTTTCTTCAAGTATAAGCCTTTAAAAATGCTATGCACTCCTTGATAGTCTTTGTGAGTTCTCACATGTAGGCTCTTCCATTCTTTATTCTAATGACTGTATAATTTGTGTTTTTGTGTCTCAGTGTAAAATCCAACTGCTCTTGGGAGTGATGGAATATATCTGTCTATTCAATTTAATACATGGATTATAACCTAGTTAATAAAATTTAAGTCAATATTACTCTCCCTCAGACATTTCTTAGGGACATCATGAAACATTTTCTAGAGGTTGAAATCCTAGCATGAAAGAGTTGTTGTACAACTGTTAAAGTAAGTATTTAAAGGACTAAAGAGCTTGCTTTTCTCAACAGTTTTTTTTTCAACTATCTATTTATATCATCTGGCAAGTGAAAGAGTGTAAACTTTATTACCCTCTGCTTAACAATTATTCCATTAAGGTTGAGTTAGACAAGGGGAAATGTCACTTCACTGTGGAAACAGCAAATAAGAAGTAGCTACCTTTTGAATATGTAAATTCTTACCTTTAAGTCCACCCCCCACCTTTGCCTACAGCAAACAAGTATGTTAGGATGTTTGACTGTTACTCTGGCAAACTTCTGCACTATTGAAATGATTGCCAACAGTGTTAGAACGGTCTTGAAATAAAAACTGTCTCATTATAACTGAAACTTGTCAGGCAAAGACCTTGTCCTGTCACTTTTGTTTGAAGGTTATCCTTGGGGGCATCAGTGTATTCCCCAAAATAATTAGATGATTAGCTTGCCGCTAAATACTATCCTCAGGGTGTTTGCTCCCAGTTACCTGTGGGTTTGTCCAAAGTCCTAAGCATGGAATGCTAATTCAGATCACTATGCCCACTCAGGAAACGATAGCCAGTCAAAACCAACGGATTCATGCTTGACCTTAACAAGCCAATTGGAAACATTATGCAAAATAATGTCGAGCCCATAGCTTTACAGAAGCTCTAGGACCACTGGGCTTCACTGTGGGCAGAGCAGAGAAGACAATGCAGGTAGGCTTAGCACATGGCTCTGCAAACACCATCCCCTGCAGGAGACAGGGCAGGCAGTGGTCGGTCTATGGGCTTTCTCAAACAGCTTCAATTTAGCTCATCATTTTTCTTTTTTTAGCTCTCTTCAATCTGCTACCATTCCTGCAAAAATGGTAATTCTCGTCTAGAATCCCTTAAGGTGCCTTTCTAAAGAACTCTGAATATGTGACCCTGGTTTCTGCAATGGTAGCAACTGCAGCTCCTGACTTGCAGGTCTTTGGCAAGGAAGTTTTGCTACTCTTCCAGAGAATAGAATCTCTTTGTTTTCCTCACCAAATCTGCCTTGCCTTGGGATGTGTCATAACGAAGAGAAAGAGGGAAGAATGATGATGTGTATTCTGAGACTAGGTTTTGGTCTACTCTTGCCGATTTTAGAGACTTCTTGGAATGCTATCCTGACACTGCTGTGCCTTGGAGCTGGGGCAAACCTTGAGGTATGCCATACAGGAACAGATAGGTTTGAAAGCAGAGATGCTCAACCAAGCCCAAACTGTTCCCAAATGACATCTCTGTTGAAATAGCTTTCTGGGTGACATCAGTGACCCAGAGTAGACCTGTCAGCCCACAGAATTAAGAAAAGCAATCGATGATTCTTTAAGGCTACAAAACACTGGAATCCTGTTTCAACAACCATTAGTCAGGTAGCCTGTAGCCAGTATATTGAGCAGCAGCTCAGAAAACAAAGCATTTATATAGCTAACAATTTGTTGACTTTATTCTTCATCCTGTCTGGGTTTATTACTTACACATGGCACAGGATTTTCCTGTGTAACCAGGAGCACAGTCACAGTTTCCAGAGCTTCCATTACAATGACCTCCATTTTCACAGAGTCCACAGGAAAACTGGCATTCTGGTCCCCAGAGGCCATCAGGGCAGGCTTATAAAATAAAAACATAAAGAAAGATGGCTCCAGATTTCACTCTCCCTGTTGCCTATATGGGTTGGCAAATTGTGTGTGTGTTGTGGTTTGCAAAGAAAAAATGTTCACTAGCCTTTGAAGATTTATAGCACCTCCAAAAGTATTCTCTGAAGAAATCAACACAATGCTGTGTCTGTCACTTTGGAAACACAGATATAGTAGTTGCCTTTTTTTCTTTTCTTTTCTATTTTTCTTTTGCTGAAAATGTGTGTGTGTGTGTGTGTGTGTGTGTGTGTGTGTGTGTGTGTGTGTGTGTGTGTGTTGTATTTTTTTTTTAGGCAGTAACAATGGAAGCCATTTTGATATTCCTCTGGAAGCACTTGTACAGAACAAACATGAAACAGGCATAATTTGTAAAAAGCAGTTCAGAAGGCTGCCTCCAAGTGCTAGCTAGCTTCATGTCCGCTTTCCTCATCACCGCCTCCTTCTCTAAGCCTAGGCAAGGCAGAGCTTTGGAGTTTGTATTCTTTTATGGGCATATATACAGTGTCTAAAGTGTCTAAGGAGAAACTGGGTGCTGTCCTGTTGCATGTCCTTTGAACCATTGATGGAAAAGACAAGCAGTAGAGACTACTGGCACATGGGACCTTTATAGACAGCATATGATCCATTATCCAATCCCCTGCAAGCAGAAACCTGGGAGAAATAATCCTCTGAACACAGAGAAAACAGTGAAACTTCCTTAAACACTTGACAATGGTAGATGTTACAATGCATGTGGTGGTAATCTAATTGTACTGAAATGTGATTTTGATTGTATGTTAATAAATAAAGTTGCCCGGGGGTCAGAGCTATTAGAGCCATAGAAAGAGCATGGCGGTGGTGGCACATGCCTTTAATCCCATAGATCTCTGTGTGTTCAGGGATACAGCCAGCATTGGAGACATATGCCTTTAAGACCTAGGGGGCTGTACATTCAGACAGTGACGAGGCAGTCACGTGTTTGGGTTTACAACCAATGAGAAGGCAGAACAATAATACTATAAAAAAGGCGTACAGACAGGAAGTAGCCCTCTTTCGGGAAGCTGGGACACCGCAGGCGGAAGGGTGAGATTTTAGCTCTGAGCTCTGACCTCTGGGCTTTCTCTTTTACATTGTTTCTGTGTTTCTTATTTAATAAGACGGTTAGTTACAAATGCACTATGCCCAACTGTGATGTATCTTTTGTGCTGGGCAGAGTCTCTGAATAGCAGAATTACCACATTTTTTGAAGTGTCTATACCAGATCAGCAGCCATATCCTTATATAAATAGATCATATTTCCATTAAAAAAACAGCAATCACACCTTTATCCTATATTAAATGAGGATTATAGAGGTGATGTGGTGTATCTGGTGTCATCAAGCTGTAAGCAGCAAAATTGAAATTTAATCCTCCATCTTTCAGTTTTGGAAGCCAGTGCTCCCATTACTCCATGATGCTAGACCATTAAAAGCCACTCAAGTCATGTATTGTACTCTAGGAGATCCACAGTGGTTCTGAATTTCAAGTTTGCCTGCCGCAGAACTATTTGAATCAAGATTTGATTTTTTTTTGTAATGGCATGGGAGTTGCACAGACTTCCTAAAATGGGTTAATGGGGGTCACTGGACCACTAGGTCCTCCACATTGAGAAATCTGCTTGTAGCAGGGGTCTGCAATATTTGGGACACAAACTTTTACCCGGGATACACAGACAGGTTTTAAGTGGCTTTCTCTTCTATATCACAGGTTAATGGAGAAAAGTGGCTTTTCTGTTTGTAGACGCCATTGCTGATAAACTAATGAGGTTGGTGTTAACTGTTCAGGGTTCTGTTTCCCAGTAACACTGAAACAGTCCTTAATTGACTATTCATGTTTAATTCAGACACAGGCCCGGAGGTAAGAATCTTGAAGATGTGTCTGGCCCTGGACTACTCCAGTGCTTTAGACACACAGAGAAAAACAACAGGCCTGATTTCCATCTTGCAAAACTCTTAAAGAGCTCTTTTTGCCTTAATTTCAGCTGCCAATCATGGTGAGCCCATTCACATTCTCCAGTCTTATTCATAATTTCATTTTGTGGTTAGACAAAACTATCAGAATTGGACAAAGTTATCTGATTGAAAAATAATATGTTTTCTAGAGATTATGGTGACCTCTCTATTTTGCTGATTTACATACACTTTCAACTCATTTTCTTTCACAGTAGGAATCTCAGAAGCCTTTTCCAATAAAGTATATTCAGCAGCTGCTTTAAGGAAATGTTGTCAGAATAAATTAAATTTACTCAGGTGTGTGTACATGGTATTATATCCTTGTGCATTGACTTCCAGAACACGACACTTCTGTGGACATGAATAGAAAGCTAACACAGGGCTTAAAACCAGGGCGGAGATTGAGAGAGTGACATGAGATCCACTCTTGTGCCATAGTAAACACATTTGTTTAAGATTGGAGTTGTGTTTCCTCAAATTCTTTTCCTCACTACTTAGGTAGTCACAATCCAGCCACTGCAATAGCCTGCTGGGCTTGCTCATATGGTACAGGTTTATAGTCACAGGACAGGATGAACAGACTTTCCTAAACCTGTGCATAAGGGATTCTAAGACAAGTTTCAATTCCCTGGCTTCTGTGAGTGTTGAGTCCACACTCAACACTACGGTGTCTTCCATCCAAACCCAGTATCTTCTTCTGGTTGCAAATGATGTAATGACTTACCATTAGTCCTTATCATTTTGTTTGTCATGTGTACAGTTTTTACGAAAGAGCAAAGCAGGTGTGACAATTTTTTTCCTAAAACAGAATACCTAGTACTTAATGAAAAATACATAGACAATAAACATGAATCTCCATACACTTGTGTTGACTTAAGAAAAGATTTACTGACTAGTGTCTTTACTGCAGGACCAAGGGAAAATATGAGGAAACAAAACATAGATACCCACATGGAACCCAGACTCTAGCCAGAGAATGATCAGTCAATATTAAATACAACAGGAATGGGTGAATATGGTAGATCAGAAGATAAGAATGTGTATAAGGCAACAAAAAGAACCCCAAGGAAAGCTGCAAGTTGCATTCGTAAGAAGTGGCATGGATGGGGTTCAGTGACAAAGTGACCAGACACCAAAACATGAGCGTCATCCCAGAGAGTCTACAAGCCAGGGATGACATTACTGACACACTGGGACACCATTTTCTCAGTGTTTGCATGCAACCACAACATATCTACACATTACTTATGACTGGAATCGTAGCTTGCTGTTTATAGATTTGTCTAATAGTTATGTGACATCTATATAGTTGAGAAATGACAGTACTGGTACCCACATTTAAACTCTCCATGGTTAAGCTACTGTTAATAAATTTATTTGGATGATTGATTTTTAGATGAAAGGGTATATTCTTTCATTCTGGAAGACAGCAGGTCCTTGGTTGATGACTCTATATTATCTATCTTCAATTGTTTTTAGGTATAATTTTAAGCTGTGTGGTCTTTTTTTCCTTTGTTCTGGCTAGAATGGGGACTGCTAAGAGCAGGGGCCAAGAAGACACAGTTAAATAATTGTATTGCCCCCCTTCTCTCAGTTTCCTCACCCACAACAGGGGATCAATAAAGCATTCCCACCTCAGAGGACACTGGTGCAGATTACCTAATTAATGACCAACACTAAACAAAGGCTGATCATTTATTATTAGAGAAGTACAAAAATTCATCATCAGATTGTACCTTCCTGGCATCTGTTGCCTTGGTAACCAGATTTGCAGGTGCAACTACCATTTTTGGCACTGCATTCCAGGGTGTTCTCCTCCACACACTGACATTCCACAGAACAGCCAGCTCCATACGTCCCTCTGGGACAACCTGCAAGCAGAGTGAAGCAGACTGGTCACCTGAAAACCATGCTTTGTTTATTTGAAAGTGTTAGTGCATAAGCATGACATTCTTTGGGGCCTGATTATAAGTAGAATAACAGGATCATCATGACTGCCAAAGAAAAATGAGGCAACAAATGTCTTTCAAATCAGGCAATTCATTTGCTTTTTGGCAACTGGACATGAACAGTGAAGGCTGAATTGCTTAAAAGGCTGCAGTGATGCTGGGAGAGAGATTGCTTCTCAAACGTGCTCTATTGCTGCCTAGACTTAATATTCTCCAAGGACTGCTTTGGTTGCCAGGACCCTCATCATCCTGCTGCAGCTTGGAGATGATAGACAAGCACTTATGTGAAGGTTGGCCATTGTCCTTACTCCCTCTCATTATATGGTAATCAGAAATAATTTTACATCGCACAGATTACACAAAGCTTCCATTGTGACAGTGATATTATCTTGACCACTTCTGTGGCAAGTGCTGCTTGCCCTGTCTTCTTTATTTTCCCCAGGCCAGTGAGTTTTAGACATGATGCAATCATGGCTGAAATTCTAACTTGGGAACCCCCTGCCCTTGTGTTTAGAATAGCATACCGTAGTTCATGCTTCTTCTCTCTTCCTCTTTCCCACTCTCTCGGCTGAGTTCTTAGAACAGCTCAATTCCCTTTCCAAAACATATCTCTGACAATTATTTTGTTTCCCAGTTATCAATTCTCAAGAGACTTCTCAAATGAAATGTGCTTTAAGGTGCTCCTGGGCTCAAAGTAATTGTTTGGTGTGCCCTGATGGTCTTTGCTGTAGCATGCTGCCTGCAGAAAATGCAGTGAGTTGTGGTGCTTCCCTGGGGGACTGGAAATGACATTAGTAGAGTTCATTCTATGTAGTGGTTATGATGGCTCAAAGCAAATCCCAGTTCAGGTTGCCAGGGACATTGTGAATAGTCTTTAAAGCCAGACAATCACGAGAGCCATATGGACTCTTCAACAACGGCTCCAGTTCTAATAACAAGTGATCGTTTTCATGACCTCTATGTTCCATGGAGAGCATCAGACTCCTCAAGACTAGGGTCTATCTTGTTCTAGGCTATTCTGTTTATTCTAGAATATTTGCTTGGAAACAAGTTTGGATAAAAAGAAAAAGTGGAACAGATCTCTGTGGGCAATCTAGTATCAGGCATCGAGATAGAATATCCAACAGTTGTATTTTGAAGTCCTGATTCTCAGGACCTAAAAATATGACTTTACTTTGAGTACATCAAGGCTATAATGTGTTAAGATGAGGCTGTATTGGGATATGTGTGTTTCTAATTCAATACATAATGAGCTTACAGATGGAGGGATTTGTCCAGAGACCTGCATGTTGTGAAAGCACCAGTGAAGGGCGGTATGATGATAGAAGGAATTTCCTATGGCAAGAAGAGGCCTGAACATCATCAGAGGGACCAGAAAACCACTGACACCTTCAAACTGGGCTCCCAGCTTCCAGAACTGTCAGACAATGGATTTATGTTTTAAGGTACTCAGTTTGTGGCATTTGGTGTGGCTAGAGAAACATTGATAAGTTGTAGGACTTGGGGTCCTAGGAACTAGTCAAATGACATTCATAAGTAAACCTAGAAGAACTGGGATGTGTGTATTCTTCCTAAAGATTGTGTCTTTCAAAATGTTAACCATTATTACCACCACCATTACCATTATCACCACCACCACTGCTACAACCACTACCACCAGCATTCCCTCCATCACCACAGTTACCACCACCACCACCACCACCACCACCATCACCACCACCACCATCCCCTCTATCACCACAGTTACTACCACCACCACCATCACCACCATCACATGTTTGCTAGTTTTCTCTTAAATCTTTACTCTTTATGGTTGCAAGTAAATTTAAATATGTGAGCCTGTTATTCAAATCCTAAGAAAGTCAATTTTTGTTACTGAAAAGTGATCTTCCCAAACTTTTTGACCAGATTTATTGACTCAATTTTTGTGCTCAAAGATCTGATGCTATCATATAAAATATTCAAAGGTTATTATTTCATATTGGATATATCTTGCTATAACTCAGGGCCAATAACAGAAATGGTACTCTGTTTCTAGCCTCACACTATTCTAAGCCACTGTCCTTCACACAGGGAGAAATCATGCTGTGGGCTGTGACTTACTGAGATGACAGAATCTTCCGTAGCGCCCTAGGTCACATATACAGGCTCCAAATATCCTGTGGCAATGGCCATTGTTGGCACAGTGACATTTTCTTTTGCAGTTCTTTCCAAAGAACCCTTTCAGGCATCCTGCAGGGTACGGAAAAGAAGTAAATATTAGCTCACATGCAGAAATTGCTACAACCTTTGTTTATAAAATACAAAATCTGAGAATCTACCCCATCTGAAAAGTTATAGGCATTTGATGGGTGTGGGGAAGGAAAGTCACTCCTCTTTAGGGAGTTGGCCAATGGTAGGTTGTTCATGTCCCAGCAGAGGACCACATGCACATATGGGCAGCACTACATGTATCCACAGTAAGACATACAGCTAGGGAGGGATGGAGGGTGAGGTGCACTAGAGAGAGTTGGAGTGAAGTAGTAGAAGGTAGATACGATGAATATTCATTCTATAAATACATGAAACTTTAAAAATAAATCTTTTAATAGTACTTTGAAAATTTCTTACAATGTATTTTGATTATATTCACACCTTCTCTTGCTACACTTCTCAAATCACCATACTTCCCTTTTATACCCAACTTGGTATCTTCTTACCTTTCTTTTAAATACATCACGTTTAATTTGTGATACTCATGGATTCTTAGATATGGGATCTTCTGCTGAATTGTGGTAGACATACTAGGAGCCACACTCTTAAAGAACAAGGATTATCCCAGAAGTTATCAATTGCCAAAAGCTCCTCAGCTAGGGGTGGGACTTCATGACCACTTTTTTCCATACTGGGATTATATGAGCTTATGCAGGTCAAGTACATGCTATCTCAATTTCTGTGATTTCATATGCACAGTTGCCTTGCTGTGTCTGAAAGACACTTTTGTTTTAGTCATCCACCATCTCTGGCTTTTAATTATTAATATAATATAGTTATATTAATATAATTATATAATATATAATAATATATAACACACACACACAGCTTAAGGAAGTCCAAGTGTGAGACAATAACTCAGCTGGTAAAGTGCTTGTGGTATAAATGAGAGGACTTGAGTTCACCGACCAGAAGCAGATCTTTGGATGTTTGAAGCCAGCCTGGTCTACGTAATGAATTCCAGCTAGGTCAACATAGTGAAACCCTTTCTAAAAAACAGACCAAAACAAACACCAAGACCCCATCTAAAAAAATCAAGGTGCACAGCATCCTGAGGAATGACACTGGAAGTTCACTTCTGGTGTCCACACATACCTGCACAATGTGTACCCGCAATACACACACACACACACACACACACACACACACACACACACACACACACACGCGCGCGCGCGCGCGCGAGCACACACCGGAACAATGTTGTCATTCTGGTTAAATGGAGAGGAACAAGTGTTTTGTTTTGGTGTTTTTGCAGATGCACACACATGATTCTGCATCCTCTGCTTGAAATCCTACTGTGACTCGTCAGTGCTACAAACTAAAAGCTCTATACTACACTGCAATGGGTGGTCCAAAAACAGAGCACAACTGCTGTTGAACTCTCAGAAGTGCTAACAGCCCTACCTTTAAAATGGCTAACTGGCCGGGCGGTGGTGGCGCACGCCTTTAATCCCAGCACTCGGGAGGCAGAGCCAGGCGGATCGCTGTGAGTTCGAGGCCAGCCTGGGCTACCAAGTGAGCTCCAGGAAAGGCGCAAAACTACACAGAGAAACCCTGTCTCGAAAAAACAAACAAAAAAAAATAAAAAAATAAAATGGCTAACTGATAAACCTGTCTGGGTTGGACAGTGGCCTTTAACAAAAGAGAAGTTACAAGTTTTAGAACAGCTGGTTCAAGAGCAGTTAAATGCTCAACACACTGAAGAATCTTCCAGCCCTTGGAATTCTCTTTTTGTTATGAAAAAGAAATCTGGTAAATGGAGAATGGTAACAGACCTAACAACAATTAACAAGGTAATTCAGTTAATGGTCTCTCTACAATCTGGAATTCCTTTGCCTACTTTGCTAACTAAAGGATGGCCTCTCATAGTTATTGATTTAAAAGACTGTTTCTTTTCAATACACTTAAAAGAAAAAGACAGAGAAAGATTTTCTTTCATGGTGCCTACTTATAATAATTCTCAACCAGTTAAGAGATATCAATGGAGGGTTCTCTCACAGGGAATGTTGAATAGCCCAACCCTGTGCCAATATTTTGTACAATAGCCATTGGAAGTAATATGTAGACAATTTCCTGAATCTATAATTTATCATTACATGGATGATATTTTACTAGCTGATTCAAACACAGATACCTTAGAAAAAATGTTTGAAGAAGTAAAGAAAATTTTGCCTTGTTGGGGATTACAAATTGCTCCTGAAAAGATACACAGAAGAGATTCTATCAATTATTTAGGATATAAGATAGGTCTACAGAAAGTTAGACCCCAAAAGGAGCAAATTAGGAGAGATCAATTACAGACTCTTAATGACTTTCAAAGATCATTTGGAGACATTTCCCATCTATGAACTGTTGGTGGGGTAAAAAATGATGAACTGAGTAAAGTGTTCAAAACCTTAGAAGGTGACAAGGACTTAAATAGTACAAGAAAATTATTACCTGAAGCTGAGAGAGAATTGGCCTTGATGGAAAAGAAAGTACAGGGATGATATGTGGATCATGTGGATCTAAAGCTTGATTGCATTTTGGTTATTTTACCCTCTAAGCATTCTCCTACAGGAATTTTAATGCAGAGGGAAGATATTATATTAGAATGGATATTTATAACAAATAGAGTAAAAAATTAAAAACTTATGTGGAAAAGATCTCTGACTTGATTTTAAAAGGAAAATCGAAAGTTTGTCAATTAGCAAGAATGGCCACAGTAGAAAGAAAGAAAGCTGTAGTATTTTTAACTAAGGATGACATTGACAAATTATAGGAAGAAAGTGAACCTTGGCAAAGAGCTTGTAGTAATTTTTTTTGGGAGAGATTAATAGCAAATACCCCAAAAGTGATAGAATTCAATTCATAAAGAGAGCTGGTTGGATGGTAATGCCCCAGAGGTTGCTTTCTCATACAGGATTATTTTAGCTATCCTGGGTCTTTTGTTTTTCCATATGATGTTGAATATTTTTCTTTCCAAGTCTGTGAAGAATTGTGTTGGGATTTTGATGGGGATTGCATTGAATCTGTAGATTGCTTTTGGTAAGATTGCCATTTTTACTATGTTAATCCT